TATAAATGTGTATATATAAATATACATAATATATATACATACATATATACATACATAAATATATATAAATATATATGTGTGTGTGAATGTATATATATGTGTGTGTGTATATATATGAGTCTGAATCTTCCTATAGTGAATGGCATGACCATATTAAAAATGAACATGATAATTCACATTTACTGTATTATGCCTAATATATATACTGTGCATACTTACCTTGCAGAGTCTGAATCAACCAAAAAAAGAGGACAGAAGATGGCAGGATGATGTGGGAGGTTAATCCAAATAGACTGGAGAATGTCAGGGATGAGCTTATCATAAAGTAGTCATTAGGAATGAGGTGAACAGACTGCAGGCATTTGGGGGTGACTTGGCACATCTTAAATTCACAAAGCTGCTTTTGGGGGAAAAGAAGTACCATAGTTAAACATAAAATTTGAGATTGTCCCTGACTACGACAGGTAGTGGCACATCATTGAGATGATGAACTGAACTAAAGGTGGTTTCATATTCTGGCAGTTGTATAGAATTTAAGAACTTGTTTAATGTATGGTCTTTATTAACAGGCTGAAAGTGAGCTTTCCCTGGCAAGAAAAATGTTACAGTGGAAACCATGGGAGCCTCTAGTTGAAGAACCTCCTACTGACCAGTGGAGATGGCCAATATAATACTGAAAATGGTGTAACCTCTTGAAAGTCAAAAAAGTTGAAATATAATCTATTACTGACAGTACCTTTAAATTAAAAAAGTGACTTAATAAAACCACGCTTTGTCTTAATGTCCACTATATACAGCAATCTAAAGATTGCTACCAGTTTCTTGCAAAAATGGCTTTAAGAATAGTCAGCTTATTTACAACCATTGATTCATTTCTTTTTGTCATTTGCTGATTAACAGGGTACTTATTTGTGCATGATAACGTTATAATCTGTATGTGTATATTAGCAGATACAGGTATTTCATTTGAAATCAAAATCAAAGTTGTAGAAAAGCACGGTTCTGCCTTTTTCTGCCATTGATGGTTGTGTGTTTTTGCTATCTTTGTAAAGCCAGTACCAGTGTCTGTATGACCATGCAGATATCAGTATTAGGGATCTGATGTAATGCAAGTCAGGCTTACCAAAAATAATGTTTTTTAGTTTTTAGCTGAATCACTGTCCCGAACCAGCTGACTCCACTGGCCACATAAGCAATAATTCTGGCTCAGGGAGGTGCTGAGAAGCAGGAATGGGTTTCTTCATTTGCAGGTAGCTTACCATACTTAGCATCATATACGTGGCACAAAATTTTAACGTCACTCTAATTTTGTATGTGTAGGATTTGGTTTTGTATGTAAGTGTGTACTTCATTGGTTTATTTGTATATTACTGATTCAGACCTGGAATATTACTGTTAAGAAAAAATAATGGAATTTTGTTGACGTGTGCTCTTTCCATCTAAATGCTTGAATGAAGGACCAGCCACACATCTCCAGTCTCAAAACTGTTTTAGAAATCTAAGTTTGACAGACTAGATCCAGGGTCAATGTGCAAGTTTGTCTTTGCTCACAGTTTCTCAGTACCATTAATAATGTTGATGGAAGTTTAAAGATGAGCTGTATGACAAAAATCTGCAGCTTGTTAAAGGTTGACAGTTCCAGTGCATTGTGTTACATATGTACTTTGTAATAGGTATACAGACTTTAGAACCATCAGTTTACCTCTGTCTAATTACCTGTGACTAATTATGTCGTAGATATATGAGTATAGGTAAGGTATTAGGGCATTAGGCAAGTGGAAGAGAACCTACTGGGTATAGCCAGTATAAGTTATGTAGTGCTTGCGTGAGAGTAATTACTTCTTTTAGAGCAACTTTAGAGGGACTTTTCCCACTGATTATTGGTGAAATCACCGAAGTCTTAAACTCTCCACAATTCAAAAAGTTGAAAATATTACACTTTGTTGGTAGATTTTGACATCTATTTCAGCCTTGTGAAAAGCTGGTTTCTTCTAAGATAAAGCCACTAGGTGGCATTATTGAAAAGGACTTCACTGTGACTTGCAAACAATCTCCACATGAGAAATACTAAAGAATTGTAAACCTGAATGAGCGTGAATGATGTCAGATGATGATGATGACCCCAAAACAAAGTATTTTGGCTAGAAATTCTTGAGATGGAAACATTGGCAAAATGCAGTAACAGCTATTGCAATTTGTTTCTATTCTTTCATGACAGAGAGAGCTGAGCTCTCATTCCATTACATACTCTGCTTCTAAAGCTGTATTTGTCATATGAATTATCTGTCCTACAAGCTTGTGAATTATATTGCAGGGCAGAAGTCTCTTACTGTCTCACTAGTGATGAAATTTGATAGCCAGCATTGAGGACAGAATCACCAAGGTTGGAAAAGACCCACAGAATCGCTCAGTGCAACCATCCACCATCATCAATAGTTCTCACTAAACCATGTCCCACAACACAGCATCCAAATGTTCCTTAACACCTCCATGGTCGGTGACTCCACCATCTCCCTGGGCAGCCCATTCCAGCTTGACCGTTCTTTCAGAGAAGTAGTGTTTCCTAACATCCAGCCTGAATCTCCTCTGGCATAACTTGAAGCCATTCCCTCTAGTTCTATCACTGTTACATGAGAGAAGAGGCTGACTCCCAGCTCACTACAACCTCCCTTCAGGTAGTTGCAGAGAGCAATAAAGTCTCCCCGAGCCTCCTCCAGGCTGAATATTCCCAGCTCCTTCATCCTCTCCTCATAAGCCCTGTGCTCCAGACCCCTCACCAGCTTTGTTGCCCTCCTTTGAACCCGCTCCAGGGCCTCAATGTCTTTCTTGCAGTGAGGAGACCAAAATGGCACAGTACTTGAGGTGTGGCCTCACGAGTGCTGAATATAGGGGAACAATCACTGCCCTGTTCCTACTGGCAACACTGTTCCTGATGCAAGCCAGGATGCCATTGGCCTTCTTGGCCACCTGGGCACACTGCTGGCTCATGTTCAGCCGAGCATCAATCAATATCCCCAGGTCCATTTCCTCTATGCAGTCTTCCAGCTGCTCTGCCCCAAGCCTGTAGCGTCGCCTGGGGTTGTTGTGGCCGAAGTGCAGGACCCGGCATTTGGCCTTGTTGAAACTCATCCCATTGGCTTCAGCCCAGCTCTCCAGCCTGTCCAGATCCCTCTGTAGGGCCTCGCTACCCCCAGGCAGATCCACACTTCCAGCCAATTTGGTGTCATCTGCAAACTTACTGAGGGTGCACTCGATGCCCTCATCCAGGTCATCAATAAAGATACTGAAGAGGACAGGCCCCAGCACCAACCCCTGGGGAACGTCACTCATGATCAGTCGCCAGCTGGATTTGGCTCCATTCACCACCACTCTCTGGGCCCAGCCTTCCAGCTAGTTCCTTACCCAGCCAAGAGTGCACCTGTCCAAGCCATGGGCTGCCAGCTTCTGCAGGAGAATGCTGTGGGAGACAGTGTCAAAGGCTTTGCTGAAGTCTAGGTAGACCACATCAACAGCCCTTCCCTAGTCTACCAGATGGATCAGTAGATCATAGTAGATCAAGTTGGTCAAGCAGGACCTGCCCTTTGTGAACCCATGCTGGCTAGGCCTGATCCCTGGTTGTCCCACGCATGCCATGTGATCTCCCTCTGCTCCACAACATTCCCTGGCACCGAGGTCAGGTTCCACTCTCCAGAAGTTCACCTCTTCTCCCTTTCTCAAAGGCAGAAATAAGTTCTTGCAACAGACTAACTTACTGCCTTGACAGGTATTTTTACTGCTATGTTTCCTATTTATAGCCACAGTGCTTTGGCTGCTCTATAAATGGTTCTTTCAAATCTCTCAAAATAGGATCACTTTTTTTTATCTATCAAAACACTGAATTAGCTTTCGCTCATACTTCAATTTAGGAATCCATTATCCTAAGTATTAGAAAGGTTCTACTGTGAAGCCAAAGTCTAGAAATCACGAAGGATTTTTCAGATTTTTATCAAATTTTCAGCATGCATTAAAAGTTCTTTTTATGCTTTATTGCTGGCTAAATTTTGCTCTACTGTTTTAGAAAGCAAGAATTAACTCCATTTATGCTACCCAAGATTATTAGTAAGTTATGGGTTATTGAGAACAAAGGGAGGGAAGAGAGCAGATTGAAGCGCTGAGAGAGATCAGTGTGTGGGCAGTGTTCTCACTAGTTTAATTCTTTGCCAAGAGGAAGAACAAAGTAATTGTGGGGGGAGGAGAAAGCATTTTCCAAACTGAAGCTGAGCTGGAATGCTGAAGGCAGTTATGATGGCGATAAAGCAGAGCTCTTTCCACGGAACAAGTCACTTCAGTCAGGCTCAGCTCAGGATTTAGAGAGAAAGCAGCAGGCCTGCGTACACGAGCCTAGCGGAGCCTCGCACCGAGCGCGGGACGGCGCGCACTGAGAAGGCGAGCGCTCAGCGCCGCCACAGCCCCGCACCCACAGCCGCCCGCCGAGCAGCCGCGCACATGGCGCCGCCGTCTCCCGCCTGGCTTCACCGCGCACGCTCAAGTGCTCCTCCAGCCCCGCCCTGCGTTGCCATGGTTACCGCAACGCGCTGCCCGTGCGTGCAGCGCCACCATGGAGAGCCGCCCGGGACGGGAGGTCCTGCGAGAGCCCTGCAGGGATGGCACCGGAGCGGGGAGAGCCCCGCGGCGCTGAGCGGCACCCAGCACCTGGCGCGACGGCCGATGTGAGGGCGCTGGCGCGGGCCGTGCTGGGAGAGCCGCGCGGATGCACCTCCAGGGGGGCGCGGGGCTGCGGGCGGGGCCGGCGTCCCACCGGCGCTATGCCGGGCCGGGCGGGGTTCTACTCCTCCGCGGATTCCCGAATCTCCCCTATCTGTATCTATCAGTATATGAAATATTCCTACCTGTGTATTCCTTATCATGCGTATTCATGCATATATATATACATACATACATACATACATATATATATATATATATATATAAGCTCTTCTGGCTGCCTGCTGGCACATTATGGCTTTCACAGAACAGTAAGATGTTTTGTGTTTTGCTCTGAGTAAAAACTAAGACCTGAAGCTATTCTAAATAGGCTGCTTGGAAAAGAATTCGGGAGAAGCTTTGCAGGATATTGCCACTCCTGTGATGATAACAACAAACCTGTATGTTTTTAATAGGTACTGCGAGCATTCCTGCAGAAAGGTTAAAAAGTTGAGCTCGCCCTTTGGAGATGGAAGGTGCCTCGGAGAGCTGCTCCTCAGCTGTTCCAGCAGGAGCGTGGGCAGCAGAGCAGCCTCCTGCAGGGCCCAGGCAGGCTGGCAGCACGGAGCCGTCCGGTGAGGCCCTGCTTCACCCTGCTGCCAGCACGATGCAGGCAGAGGAGGGCTGCAAGCCACTGGCCTCCTGGGAGCAGGCAGGGGCAGCTCTGCGGGAGGCACCTGGAGAAGGACTCTGTCATCAGGAGGTGATGGGAGATGGCAACCAAGGTGTGCTCGAGCCACAGAACCCCTTCAGTGCGTCACCTGAGAATGCATCTCCTGTTGCCGTTACAAAGTCCTCTACATTACCTGAATTAAGAAGTTCAGAAAGGGAAGAAGAAACATCTCAAAATGCGTCGCTGTCAGAGAATGTGACAAGTTCAACAGGGACAGGTAAAGAAGTTGTTAAAATGTTGGACGTTACTGCTTTAGAGGGATTCTTTTGTTCAATCTGATTATGCCTTCTTACACTCTTGTTCTGTTAACATTTGCAGGTTCTTGGTTTTGAGGTGACTTTTAAAATTCTTAAATGAAACACGATTGAAAAGGCGAGGGATATATTGTTTATCTCACATTGTGATAGCAATTTATGGATTAATATGACATTTTATTGAGGGATTCTTGAATCAAGAAATGCATATGGCTTTTGTACAGGTATTTTAAAATAAGCAGCGCATATTCCAAATACAATGTGACCTGGTATCAATTTAGACTAGACCACAGCAATCACCTTACTATTTTACCTCCTAGGTCTCTTGTGACTTACCAGCCACCCTCCATGCCTTTCTCCTGCAGTCCCTGAAACAGTCCAGCATTTCCTGCACTTTGTTCTTCTCTCTTCTGGGTGTCCTGTCTTGCTTCCCCTTTTCAGTTCAGTGCCCCACTTCCTTGGGCCTTCAGAGCTGAAGGCAACAAATCCCATTCCACATGTGAGCACAGTGGCTGACCCTTCAGAATATGGAGTTGCTGACTGCCTTCTCTTGTCTGAATTGTGTTCAGATGCTCTTATTCTCCAGTAGCTGGCTTTCCCTTCCTGGGAAATGCACTGTACCAAAGCCAGATGATATGTCGTATCTCTAAATCAAACCAAATAATTTCTGGAGCATGAAGCTATGTAAATCTGGTTCAGAATGTAGTCTTTGAATAAACACCACAAAGTCAAATTCTGTGTGAAAAAAACACACCAATTCCACCATTGTATGCTTGGTTCTAAGTTGGAACAGGCTTTGGTAAGATTTTCAATAAAAGTTCACTGCGTATGTGGGTAACTTTGATTTAAAGTTCTCTATTTGCAAATAAAGATATTGACTTACTGTATCTTTTCTGATTGGAGTATGAATGAATTTTTATGTAATAACAGTAGCACGTTAGATCTCAAAGTGTGTAATAAATTTTTGTTGAAGAAAACTTTTTCAGCTCAAAAATCTGTATTTGTTCTCTCTTGCAGTGTTTCAGTAAAATCATCTGGGGATTAACTTGAAAAGCTTTTTTTTGTTGTTGCTTGAGAACAATATCATAAATTGTCCTTTTACCTTTTAGGAAGCATAATTCAAACTGTTATGTGGAGTAGGGCTGAATTTCATGAATTTACCCAGTCTGAGAAGTTGTGTCTTGACCTGGAACTTTTACCTAGTAAAGCAGCTCAACAGGATTACCATATGCCAGATGTCATCACTGTCAGAGTACAGATGGGTAAATGGCACCTTTAAATACGTATCTGTAGCTGTATTTGTATACCTATGGTTATCTACATAAAGATAGATAAATAAACAAACCTTCTGTAATCTCAATCTGTTACTGAAAGAAACAATATTTCTATCCTGTAACCTTCATTTTAGCAGATTCTGAGTCATTCCACGATGTAGCTGTGAAAATTGAAAGACCTACTTTTCGTAAACCATTTCTGGGTGGATTTAAGAACAGAGTAACAGGAGTGGAATTCCATAATGCAGGGTCACAAACGGTACCCAAAAAAAGACCTGAAAAAGGAACTACATTATTTTGTAGAGAAACACAGGTAATGGTCCAACAGTGTCTTTTTAAGATATATTTTATTTTGCCAAACAACAGAATGTTGACACAATTATTTCAAACAGGAATGAGGAAGTAAATAAATCAACAGTAAGTATGCAATTGAATATATTTAATGAATTTATATAATGTGTCTTGAGATTTGGGTTTATAAATAGCTAATTTTTCATTCTTTATTTCTGGAAATGAGAAAACAATCTATGTATTTTCTGATAATTTAACTTGTTTTTTTTTTTCCTAGACGGTTTTTGAAAGAAATAGATATCAACAAACAACAAATCCAACATCTACACAGATGACTAAAAGTGGCCTGTATGTGTCAAACATAAGTGACAAACTAATAACCCCTGGAAAGTACCTAACAGCAGAGGAATACCATAAGCGTCGACTTGAAGCAGTAAGTTCTCATATGTTTGCAACTGTATCTGCAAAGAATAGTAGCAAAAAGGTTATCTGAATATGTAATGAGTCTTCAGAGTGCTCCAAGAGGGATTTTAGCGGTGAACTTCAGAATATTCACGTTTCCTTATCTTTCTGATATAAGTGTGCGTGTGCACATTTACAATATTGGTGTTTTTAGCAACATTTGAGACATTACAGTTTCTTAAATATTAATCATTGTGAATTTGCTATTTTCTGTCTTAAGTTAAACTTTCATACATACTGTTAGTTATTACAATAGGTCTGTCCCATTCCCATTCTCTTGATCTCTTTTAGAAGGACCCGAACTCCCTGCCTAATGCCATGTATGACATAATAGCTAGAATATTGGATTAGGATTTATGTGACTTACATTCAACTTCTGGAGTTTATGGCTTTTTTTCCCCCTGTATTTATTTATTTAAGAGCAGACTATATATATATGCTATGGCCTTGAGGGTTCTTTTGGTTCAGAGTCTTTTGGTGCACTGAGATGCTCAGCGTAGCCGATTCTGACAACAGATGCTGTATAGTCATTGTACAGAGAATGTCTCTTTAGGCATTCTGAACTTCTCTTTGTAAACCACCTGTTCAGTCATTGCACACCAATCTTATTACTCCCTGTCATCATGTTAGCTTGGACGCTGCTTTGTGAATGCTCTAATTCCTAATTTAATTGCTTAAAATAAGCAGTCTGAGTCTTACTAAGTGGATGACAAGTTGGTTTCCCCAAGTGTCTAAGTGGGATCACTGTATTAATGTGGTTGACAAGATGCTTTTTAAATCTTGTTAAAATTTTCTGTAAGAAATTCTTATTTGGTTAGCATCAGCTGACAGCAGTAAGCATCTTGTTGGAATGGAACCCCAGTATCTAACTGTTTCCCCAGGACTACGAGAAAGTTTTACTGTGATCATTAGTGCTACTCACTGAAATCTGTAATGTATCTGTAGGTAACCTATAATGCTGCTCTGAATGTTACCACAGAATGATTTTCTTTATTTTTCACCTCAAAAGCAAACACTTTGCAAATGTATTCCAAAATACTTTCTCCCTTCACAGCGGCTTCTTATAACCAAAACTGGCCTTCAGGTTTTAATACCTTGGATATTAGTTAGTTTTCTGTATGTATTTTTTCACAGTACAAGAAAAACACAGGAGTATTTTTTATTGTTGATATATAACATTCTAAAATTATTTTTTAGAGTGCGTCTGTGTCAAGGAATAGAGCACAGTGGAGACATCAGCTGGTGCTGATTCAATTTGGTGGATTTGCACAGCACAGTGTAGTTCTGTTCTGAAATATTAACTGGAGACGTATCCAAGGAAATGTTAGATTAAGATACCTCTGGAGTTTAGCTGTATCAACATGGTTTTGTGTTTGATGGCCTTCTACACTGAATGATGCTTAATAAACTCAGAATGGCATTAAATTAACCTGGCTCAAGTGTTTTTGGTGCAGGTGCTAACTCAGCTGGCAGAAGTTCAGGCCTGTGCATTGTCCTCCCTACTCATGTCTAGGCTAGCTCCATAGTCTTTAATAGCAACATTTTTGATGGTGGTTATATATATATTTTTAAGTTTTGTCATAACAGCAGTGTTAATTTCATTTTTATTCTTTGTTTACAAATAAAATGTAGTTAATTTAATTTTGTGGCTATGCTTTTTTTTTTGTTTTGTTTTGTTTTGTTTTGTTATTTTCAATAAGATAATTAAATTTGCAAATATGAATCTAATTTCCTAATTTTGACAAAGCATAAATTGGTACTAAAATGAAGACCTCTGCCTACACAGCTGAAGGGAAAAAATTAAAGCAATACATGGCAGAAGGCAATTTTTAAGGGGAGCTTGAAAAAGAAAAATGACCTCCTCCACTGATTACACTCTTGCAGTTAACTAAAAAAGTAAGCGGGCTAGTGTTTAGACTAATAGTACATAACTGTTTTTAAAGCATTTAAATTAGCCTAGATACAAGACAAATCTTAGAAAATGTAGTTAAAATGCAGTTAAAAAAAAACAGTTAAGAACAAAATGCTGTGCTGTTTGATTTGAAATTGATGGTTCTGTGATATTTTATCATATGTAGGTAATAGTATTACAGAAATACTTTCGTCGTTGGCATGCTAGAAATATAGTACAAAACCTGAAGGAAAAAAAGAGATTAAGGCTGGCATGGGAAGCACAAGAAGTGTTACAAAGGGAAAAAGAGAAAGAAGACAAACTGAGAATGGAGCAGGAGAGAAAACTGAACCCTAAAACCAAAGAAGACTTCGACCTGCTTTACCACGCTTTAGAATGTAAGTTTTTCTTAAGGGAGCACTCCTAAGTCAGCAAAAAAGAGAGTAGTTTAGAAGCAAGTTTTTCTGGTTTTGGTTGATTTCTTTTCCTTTCTGATCAAGACGACCTGATACAGGTCAACAAGAAGAACGAGATTCTTCTATTGTTTTCTTCTAAGGATCAAAAGACTAAGTTAGTTCTGATGCATTTATGTCACTGAAAATAATGTCATGAAGAAATTGCAATTAAGATCCATCATTTGCCATTTAATTTTCATAATGGACTAAATTCTACCAAGAATTTTATGAAAGGTAAATGAGGTTCTTTGTTTCATGCATGTCCTCTTCTGCTGCTGTTTCTTCTCTTTCTAGTGTGTTTTATTCGCAGAGCTGCTGTAACTGCAGACAAAAATTTACAAATATTTACAAATATTTTAAAAATCTTTAAAAAATAAAAATGTTAAATCTTAAGAACATTTTTTTAAGTTCCTAAAGGGCATCATGAAATCTTTCTCCTAGCAGAGTGGATGGTGTCTGCAGACAAGCACTTGTAAACTTCCCTGGCAAAATAAGGTGAATGCTGCAAATAATTGGCATGAAGTCTTATACAAGAATGATCTCCTAAGTATAAAAAAAAATTAGCACATGCCCTTTTGGAAAAATGAAAACAACAGAAAGTAATGTGATGGCCTATATATTTGCATTGTCTCTTTGGACACCTCATTTTATCTAAGCTTGATTGGTCGCTTGTGGTTTAACTCTGGCAGTTTTTACATTGCTGTCCCTATAGCAGAACTGACGGAATGGATTCCCTGATTCATTGCAAAGCTACTGAACCTGCCTTAAACCATCCTAGCTATTTTTCCTATGGTAAACTGAGCATAAATTTGGCAGTATGTGTTATCCATAGAGCCTAAGCTCATCATTCAAGAAACCCCAAGTTATCCACTTATCTTTTAATTCTGTCATACTTTGTGTGGCATTGAACAAATTGCTTTGTCTAAATGTATAAATGACATAAATATTACTGTTCTTTCTGACAAATGTAAAAATTATTTCCAGTCTTAAGCTTTTAAAGCTTTTAAATTTGGGAAATTATATCTTCCTGGGATTTGTTGTTTTGAATAAGCACACTGTTTGTTGTTGTTGTTTTATATTCTTAGATTTAAAATGTATGGTTACATACATCTCTCTTGCCTAATTTAGTATGGTTGGATTCACAAACAATAAAAAAGTCCAGCTTTGCCTATTGAGGAAATCTGAGAAGCATTTGCCATTTCAAGAGCTGTGAAGGAATAAACTAAACACTGATATTTGAAATGTCTTTTAAACATTTTGTTGGAGATAATTGTCTAGTATCAATCATATTCTTTGGTCTTTGTTTACCACTGTTGACTCATTGCTTCTCTGGAGACTTGCAGTCATGCTCTTTATTATAATAGAGCTTAGTGGTTCTAGGAAGTCTTTTTTTTCCTACCTGCATCTGAAACTACTTTTACATTCTTACAGTGTCAACAGTCTACACAAGCTAAATCATTGTGACAGTAATAGAATGAGGTTATTGTCCTCTACAGATCTGTGAAGGTTATTGCTGCTGATCACAACATAGGGATACTATTACAACGTCAGCCAGGAGAAGCAATTATTTTTGGTACAAAAACTTACCTGTTGGTTGTATGGTGCAAATGAGATGTATCTAAATATTCTGTGTTTCTGCATATAGACACTTTCACTATTTATTTGAAAAGTATGAACTACTTCATTTGCTTTACAAACACTGGAATAAAAAATGCAAGTAAAATAGGCAAAATAGATAGTCTAAGAGGAATGTCTGACCTGATAAAATATACATGTTGAATTTGTAGATGAGTATGGGTAACATTTTGACAGGCCCTTCATTTTTGCAGGTACAAAGTTGCTTAGTGTATTTATTAACTCCACCTTTGAAGTTGCTGCCCCCTTCAGGCATACAAAGCCTCATGTGAATTAATTCTATGAGGAGCTTTTACTTGCTGAAATGGCTTTATTTAAAAATATATCTTTGGATACTCAGAACTTGTCAGACAGCTGTCACATTAATACCAAAGCTTGGAAAGCCTTAAGGAAATGAATAAAATATTTTAAAGTATAAAACATAAAGCATTGTAGATAAGGAAGCCACAGGCAGAAAATAAACTTTCTTCCCTTCCCTCCTCCTGCCTTTAATCTTACCTGATACAGGATGTTATAGCCTTTTTTTCAGTAGCTGTTCATCACATACTGGATTGTTTTCTTCACACTGTTTCTCTTTTGCATAACTATTCTGAAACAATAACTTATTGATACTATTCAGGAATGTGGAAGTTTTGGATCTCACAGAACTTCCTGCAAAAATCTTTGGATGTATTTGAAATGGAGCATTTCAACCCTTCAAAACCCTTCAAAATAGGCAGGAATTGTTATGATGGATGCAAAGGAAAGCAGTATTATGTAAATGGTGATTTTACTGAGAGATTTCTGTAAGGGTGTACAAGCTGGATGTCAGCAATTATAGTCAAGAAATGTGTACTGCAAAATAAGCCATGAGAGATGTGTCTGCATGTTAGTCATTCCATTTGGCTTCTACTTCAAAGTGCAGCAGGTACCTGTGGTTTGGTGATTTGCCCCTGAGTCAGAAGGCCAGATGTTTTTATAGCATCCACTGATTTACTTGCTGCTGTCATCAGCATGTTTGTATATCACTTCCCTCCATTGGAAGGGTTCTGCTGCAGAAGGGAGAGTAACATAATGATCATCTAATTATATATGTGCATCCATCAGCCTTCGGTGGCAAAAGATGATACCACTCAATATTCACTGTTAAGCCCTGAAGTGCTAAACTTGATTGTCAGTCAGTCTTGTTTGATCTCTACTCATTTCTGCAGGGAGAAGCTGTAGCACCGAATACTATTGGGACCACAGTAAGATTCTGTTCTTAATCTGTTGAGAAGATCACGGTGATCGATGTTTGGTTAAAAAGTTCCTAGTGTTCATCTTGTTTGGAGTAGTTTTTAGGTGCAAAATCCTAAAGAAATCACTGCACCACACATTTGCACAGAAGCTAAATTCTCACTGATTTTCCTGGCAGTGTGGTATTGATTTATACTTGCACTCTCAGAACATCTTTATCCTCAGCATTATTTTCTGTGCTGTTTTTATGTCTATTTTGCATAACAATCAATTTGCTAATACAAAAGCTTATTATTATTATTATTACTATAGAAAATATGCTATTTCTTGAATATGAAAGTAGAAATCTCACTGGAAAGCATCTTCTAAAAAACTACCCAGAATATTTGTATCTGTAGCATGGAGGCAGGAGGAGACAGAACGGATTAACAGAACTCTTACTGGAGCTGAAAGAAAGGCCGCACTTTGTGGACTTCTAGAACAAGAGACACAGCTGATTGCTTCCATTGGGAGACACAAGCTAAATGCAGATGAGGACAATCAACAGAAAGCAGTGCTGCACTTTCTGGATAAGGTCAGTGAAATAATTTTAGACTGAATATAAAGAAAGTTCCAACATACAAGAACAGAGAAGGTATCTGCAAACCATTTGCTAGAAGTAACTTTTGCAGCTCTGTGACTGATTATCAAAAGACAAACATTGCAACATTAAAATTGTGAGATCTACCATAGACACAACCAGTTGTGTATTTAATCTAAACAATTAGCACTGAGTGGATGAATTTTTTATCCTTTAACTGTCCCGCATCAAGGATGGAATTCTGACAGTGTTGTTAAGATCATTCTGACAGAATTCAGAAAGGCTGATTTGAGGTTATGAAACACAAGAACATTGCAAATCATTCTGTGTTTTGCATTCTGTGAATTAGAATGCTAGAATAATTCATGCAAGAAACTGTGATCTGTCTTAATCAGTTTTTGAATCTTTAGAAATCTGCCTATAAGCTCTTTCAAAAACATTCTGTTTCTCTAAATGAAACTAATGACTAGGTGACCTTCCCTCTGCTATCTTCATTCATTGCTTTTTAGAATGAAATGTTTGCTATTGCAGTTAAATGCAAAATTTAAGCATATATTTAGTATTTATAAAATTATAAAAGATTATATGGAGATAAAAAAAAGATTATAAAATCTTAAATCCCACAGAATTAATCATGTGATTTTTTTTTTTCGTTTTTCTTCCCTCAAAAAAGTTATCCTTCAGAAATTAGATTTATTGTTCATTTCTCCATTTAGGATAGGCCTTTGTTCCTAAGTCATCATTTCTGTTGGACTTGAAAGGAAATATTTATTCATTGTTCATGTATTGGATGAGAAAGCCAGGAGAGCTTTAATTGAATCTTATTGATCTCAGTGATTAATTGACTGCTCTTAGATGAGCAACAAATTTTACATGAGAATTTATTTTTGTATAATCTTGAGGACAAAACTTACTAAAAAAAATAAATTCAATTAATTCCGTTCATTCCAACAGCAACAGTTTAGAGTGAAATTAGATTCAATGGCTCTTTAATATAAAATACGAGAAGTTTTTTTTTTAAGTTAAAACAGTATCTCAGCAATCCATCCCTTAAGAAGAAAGGTTTTTGGTGTCTACTTTCATAGTTGTGAAATAACTATGAAAAAATATACTGCAGCAGCAAGAGTTTTAAAATATCTAAGTTCATTGTTTTTTTCAACTTTGACTACTTAGTTTTCAAAAAAGTGACTCTTTGGTACAAAGGAAATTTCCTTGTTTTTGTTATTGATGAATGGGAACCGGTTCACAAAAACTGATTTGGTAAAATATATGATCTTTCTCCATTATGAATATAAATTACTTATCTGAAGTATTGGTGGAACTGTTACGAGGTTTATTGCTGTGATGTGGTTGAATTCTCTATTACTGCTTTCAGGAGTGAAAAATGCTAGGAAACTAAATATTTAGAAATGATACCAAAATTATAAATCATTTCGTTGTTAAATATTTGCTTCTGCTATTTGACATTCTTCTGTCATCTCAGAAAAAGAAGCCTGGAACAGTTTAAAGTAAATATATTTCTTAACTTGGAATTCTTCTGAAACACCGTAATATTGTTTGTAATGATGAGACTCCTGTTTTGTTTTCAATAGAAAGCTGTTTAATTTCTTTGTTTAAAATTTATACAATATTCAGTTTTGATAAAGTAATGAGGAAAAAATGACAGAATTTACAGATATCATATCTTGAGTTGAATAATTTAAATGTGGTCATAATATAAGGGCCTGTGTTACAGATTGTATTCAGTGTAGAACATTGAGGCTGCTAGCTTATATATGGCTTGTGCAAACTGATGAGAAAACCCAGCTTTAATAGCTATTTCCTAGGCAAAGTTGTGCTCATTGACTCATTGTGCTCATATTGTAAGCAAATGACCCTTCTGTCTTAGAAAGAGTGGTTTCATTAGGAGGACCAAATGAAGGTAATGAATTCAAGTACTCCTTGGAAAACAGGGACAACATAATCAAATGTTATTCAGTATTGGACTCCCTTTTCAGTTGCTTTGTTTTCCTTTTGCTTACGTATTTTTATAATTTGGTAATTTATTTTAAAAAGAGAAAAACCCTATGTAGACTGTTCATATATGTTCTATCTAATATCCTTGCTGTTTTTATGACATCACCACAGAAGGCCTGTATATTTGATCAGAATAATGATCACAGAGATACTGGGGTGTTCTCCACAGAACTACTCAAGTATCTGAAGGCTCCATGTTGTGTTTCTGCATCTAACTTCCACTAAAATCACAAAGTGAAGTTCACAGATGTTTGTGAATACTCAAGTTTCAAATACAGTGAAAGTGAATAATTAACGCAGAGAATGAAGTTCAAAGTAACTGTCCCACTATATGATTGAGGACAGGGAATGGAATTGGGCAGTGATGGGGAGAGGGTTTTGAATGCTGTATTTCTGTTGGATTTAGATATCTACCTCCCTGGGTAAGTAGCCCTCAGAGCCAGTCCTGTAGAAAGAGGATGATGTTTGGACTTTTCAAACTGAGTAGTGCAGCCAATACCATGTAAGTTCTCACTGTCTTTAGCAGATAAACACGTGCAAAGAGAATTGAAGTAGTAAGCATATGTTATGTAGTTAAGTTAGCGAGCAGGGAGCTAGCCCAAGTATCCAAAAAGCTGTGAAGTCATCTTGTAATTTAGTTTACCAAAGTCTGTGCCTTCTACAGTTGTCTGTGCAGCTAGCATAAATAGAGCAGTTCCCTGGAAATGTTTTGTACTGCAGCTGACTTTGAGGGCTTAAATTTGCAATCTTTACAAAGTCAACAGTCCCATTGATCTTACTGATACTTCAGAGGGATTTATGACTGCAAGATGAAATACTGAGCAAATGTATTCTAACACCACCATCGGTAAATTTGTTCTAAAGGAGTAGAGCGTATCCTTGTAGGAGAGTATTATGTACTATTAATTTACTCTGAGATTTCATGACCTGCAATTTTAAACAAAGTGCGCAATTGAATGCTTGCTCTGGTGGAAAAGGTACTGTAAAGTATTGGCAATAGAATTAGATTTTGGTGTTAGTTAAGCTTTAAAGTCATGTCCCAATTTGCTCTGGTGAAACTTTATGTAACAATACACTTGTTCAGCTGGTTATAGTAGCTCAGTCGTACAAATTGTTTCTCAAGTGTGCACAACCTAAGAGATGGAAAGCATGTGATGGAAAAATCACTGAAATGGATACACAATACACACTCCGTGCCAGAGAACTACTTGAAATCTACCGCAGTGTTAGCATGAATGACATCCCGAAAGACGAGAGAAGAGATGTGCTGCTAACACTCAGAGGTACAGTGAAGGTATGTTTTTATTTTTCTATTTATGTTTGGATTTAAGCTGCACTTTCAAAAGACGTGATCATTTATGATTCTATGATTTAATTGTGTTGATACACAAACAATGCTTCTTCTGGCAAATAGGTGCCAGGGAAATCAGTTGGCAGCAAGAGAAAGCCTAGTCTACCAACTGGCGTGACAGAATGATTTGTATTCCACATGTACTTAAAATCCATGTTGCGCTTTGTGATGTACACATTTTTCTTCAAGATGCATTAGGATTTTAACCCCATGGCATTAGTCTTTGTGTGTGTGTATTAATACATAATACAAATTTAGTACAAAGTTCAGCTTAATATTTGTAACAAACTGATGCAAACCATGACAGAAATGTAAATGGCTATTACTGTACTTCTGTTTTTCTCAATTGCTTGACATATCGGCTTAGAACCTTGTCATCTTGGGGGGTTGGTCTCGATGCCCTCTAGAGGACCCTTCCAACCCCTACAATTCTGTGATTCTGTGATCTCTGTGGGTTTGTTGCCACTTTCTATGGCTGGCAAATACTGATATTCTTTTCTCTTATGCTTCACATCCCCGCTAGATGCTGCCACTATTCCCAGTGGAATAAAAACTTGTCTGCCTTTCTTTTAATCTTTCTCTCCTTTTTTTCATATTAATGTACAAAAAGAATACCAAGGTAAGTTTTCAAGTACTTGTGAGATGACAGCATTAAGAGTGACGTAGAATAGAATGCTGTTTCCTGGTTCTTACTGAATGAAACTAATGTCTTGCTCTTGGTTTTGATAATAGCAGAATTTGATTAAAAGTCAATATGATGTTGGGAGCATTGCTAATTTATGAACTTCTGTTCATCTTAATACAATTCAATACTGTGTAGTAAACAAATTCTAGAATTTCTGCAGATTAGCACTCATGTTTCAGGTGAAGAAACATTAACCTAAGTCATTTGATTTCTATGTCTGGAGTATCTCTAAGTATTTGGAGCACTGAAGGCACTAACTTCAAGCATGGTTGTAAGTCCCTTAGGCCTTTTGTATCATTTTTTTTTTTTCCCTTCCTTTCCCCCTTTCCTTTCTACCAGTGTATATACATTTCCTATCACAGTACCAAAGGAAGCTTCTTATTGAGATGCTTCTTCAAGCTTTTAGAGGAACAGAACAGTTTTCAGCCTCGTTTTAGAGGCATTATTTAGTGCCTCCAGATTTACAGTTCTTCCTAGCTTCAGTATATATGCAGGCTCATTGAAGCAAAATCTGTATGTATTCATGGTTTTTTGGTTTGTTTGGTTTTTATATTTTTAACTTCTTACATTAGTTTTCTTGGAGGTTATTTTCCTATTTCCACTAAGGGTTCTTTTATTGTGAACATACAGAGCTGTGACTGATGAATTACACAGAAGCTATAATTTGCTTTCATACCATTGTTAAGAGTTATGTTGTTTGTTTCTTTGTAACAATAAAGTTTTCTTTTCCTTTTTAATTCTGTTTTCCTTCAGGAACACAAATGTAAATTAACACAGGAAATAGTGGAATTAATTGACAGGGAAGTTGATCTTATGTCAAGAGAAGTAAAAGAATGCAACTTAGAAGGACTGAGGAAAAGAATTTGTACACTATTTCTTCAGTATATTAAAATTCCGAAGTTTAACCCTGAAGTTGCAAGGATACTTAAGGTAGTATTCCTAGACTGCAATCTGACTTAATGGCTATGTAACTAAAGATAGAGAACATAGATGAATGTTCTTTTACTTCCTATAACCTTTTGCTGTAGAATTGCTGTGAGTATTCCTCAAGAAGTCAAAATATATACAAGTATCACACAAATAAACTTATGCAGTCATTTAGGAGGCATAGGCATGTTTTTAACAATTTGTCAGGTAGCAGGGAGTAGAGAGCGAGCCAAGAGCTCCAGGTATGAACTGAAAAATCTGAGCATTTTAAGTGGCCTTACATATCTTCAAAATGTTAACAATAAATTTTAATAGCAAGTGGGGAAGCAGTAGAGAGATTTGAAAGAGTTTTTTTCTTCCATTGTAAGAAAGACAGTCCCCATGTGTCCAGAAAGGAAGAATATTTACTTCCTGAAAAGCAGAAACAGAGAGGAAGTAAACATAGTGGTAGACACCTGTTTTAAGTCTTCTGTTAAAAAAATAAAATAAAAATCCTTTTAAGTATTTTGAAATAAATCACTGGCTTTTAAATATTATTTCCTTAAACATACGTAAAATCTATTCTGTAGATTTGGGTGGTTCACAAGTAACAGTGAGATATGTTGTGAGAAAATAACTTCTTTCTTTAATTTCATCTTTTAGGTTCCACCAGATCCCTTAAAGCTTTATAAAAACGTTCACTTCTGTCGCAGTTGTGAAAATTACTTACCAGCTACTGAGTTTCCTATTCCTGCTAATTCCCGCACCATTGGCAGATGTCACTTCTGTTGCAAGCTTGATAATGAGGCTCGGCAACGAGAATCATTTCTGAAGTACAGACTGATTCTAGAAAGTCTCAGAAAGTCTGAAGCTGATTATAAGGATGATGCTAGAATTGTTTTCTTAGTTCAGGTAATGTCTACAAGAGCATTGCTAATAATGGAAACTGGCGGCTTGGATTATAATTTTTGTTTTGTGGATGTAACTGTCAGGAAGAGAAATAGGCTAAAAGCTATGAAAATTTCTTTCTGTGATGTTCAGTAGTATTAAGAGAAAGCACTTCAGCTCCTTAAGTATACCTGTACTTTCGAAAGTGGTTGCAAATAATACATTAAAAGAAATGGGATGTCCAGCTAACAGAATCAGATGATCCGAATTCTCTGGTACTGCCCTGGCCATCCTGTTGCTTAAAGATATTGGCATAATCTCAATAATGACTGTCGCTGAGACTCTGTCACTTTTAGCCAAATTAATTTCAAGTTCTTCTGTTTCAAGCTATAAATATCTAAACAGCCAAGATTTGTATATTCAGCTACTAATTTCCTTATTTTTTTCTCTAACATTTATTTAAATTGTTTCATTTTTTTCTGAGCTATTTGCTTTTTTATTCATCTCCCAACAACTGTCTGTCCTCTACCTCTATTCAGAAAACAGCTGTGGTTCATCCAGAAATGACTGTCACAACCAGAAGTCTTGCAGCAGCTATGAATTTATTCATTGCCCAGCTCAGTGCCAAAATAGGCTCTGATTGTATTGTTCGTGGATAGATGTAAGATTTTTGTGACAAAAGATTTTTCTTGCATGCTGATTCTAACCGTACTTGGGCTGAACACCATGAGTGCTACTAAGGCAAAAAAGCAGCTGGTGTGTGTTATGGAAGCTCCACTAAATTCAGTTTACTGTAGCTAAAGACCTGCTTTTTGCTATCAAAATGAACTAGTTCAGCAATGTGTCAAGTCCTGAGGCTGATGGGAGTGTTCCTTTGAACCAATGAATATGATGAACTCGTTTATCCATTCTTTGCCTTCACTCATTTCCCAGTCTCCATTGCTAAGTATTCTATGACGCTTGCTCTCAACTTGTCTGATGGTAATGGTTGAACGACTTTTCTGTTTCTTTGTGAGAGTAGAACAAGTTACCAGAGGGGAGGGACAGAGTGTCATGTGATATGAATTGTGAATTTTCACAGCAAAATGCATATCTACCTTAACAAAGTGCAGAAGTTGTCTCTGAAATCAGACTTTTCTCCATAACCAGAAAAAAGTTTTCACACAGAACAGGCTTTCGTCTAATTTACAGGCAGGAAAGGAAAATGACAAGTTAGTTTGTGGGTCTGTTTTAGATGGTACTTCATATACTTTAATGTAAGTTTTAGCCAATTATTTGAGATTCACAGCTTAGGACCAAAAAAAAAAAAAAAAAAAAAAAAAAAAAAAAAAAAAAGTGCATGCCAGTGTACTTTCAAATGTCTGGCTTCTTAAAAGAAGACACAGTTATTCAAAATGTTATTCAAAATGTGGTGAAAAGGAGGAAATACTAAAAATATACACCAATTAATGAAAGCTAATAAAGGAGGACCAGATTTAAGACCAGATGTAGCAGCAGTCTTATGTTCTTGGAACCAGTAAGCATATAGTTGTTACAATGGATGTTCTAAGCCCATCCTTTATCATACATTTTTTTCCTGGCAACAATTTAGGTGGGTTCCTGGATTTTGGAAGCAAGGTAATTGAGAATACATGAGACTTCATTTCACCAAAGCATTGTGTTGGTATACTTCCATCCATATTTTGCCAGGGTTCTAATAAGTAAGATGGAAACACTAATTTAAGTAATGATTTCTCCTTAGAGGAATGAGCCTTTTTAAATGGCTTGCTGGAGGAAAACCTGTTTAAATTCTGCTGAATACAGGCTCCTGTAGAGAACGATCTTCTAATAACATTTCCATGACTGAGACAGAGAAGAATCAACGTAGGGTGACTGAAAAACTCACCAAGTTCAGTGGCAACTGCTCGCCTAATTTTTTTTTTGTTATATATGATTTTTTTTTTAATCAAGAATTTGTGGTTATTTCAGATGGCTAATAAAAATTAAACAAATTAAGATCAATATAAATTAACTTGAAAAGTATACCTAAAGATCTTTCTGTACCAGAGAACTTTTACACACAGCCCTTCCATTATTTTTTGTTAATGTTGTAGCATAACTACCTGATCTTTGGTGACCACATCTGGTAAAATGAATAACAGTATCATGAACACAGTATGCCAATAAGAGACTGAGAGCAAAAAAGCTGAGTGGGCCGTGATTTAAGGTCTGTAACAGGGAGAACTTTTCATTGTTGTAATTTTCCACATTTTTCAGGCCAGATTATTCTGATTATATGTAAACTTTAAGTAATTTAGTAGTATAATAACTTATTTATTCAATAACAGTAATTCTGAACTCTTGAATGGGGGATAAAAGGGATGGATTATTATCATCAACCAAAGAAGTCTGAACAGGTTAAAGCATGCTACAAGAGAAAGAAAATGAGATCTAAGAAGCTTTATAAGAGCATTTATGCAATTAGGATGTGAAAGGAAGATAAGAAATTTCCACTGGCAGAAATAATCCAAGTAAGAATGCAGCATTTTAGCTATGATGTATGAAAAATTTAGTTAATAGTTCCATGCCCTGCTTAAGGAAGATGCAAGTCTAGATATTCTTCAACCAAGCGATTGTGTGACATGCATAGAAGTATTTTACTCCAAAGTCTGGACTCTTAAATGGTTACCATTTTTGCTGTAGAATGAAATACGTTTCACCTTTCTTGCTCTTGTTTTCCATTTCAGCAGCAGCATCTGCAGTACATGATTGAGAACATATGGGGCTGTCAGTCAGCTCTTAGTTCTTGCAATGACCTCTATGATTTGGTTATGGTCAGATGGGAGAAGCAGCAAGAGTGGTCTCCATGGAACACTATTCTCCTCACTAAAGATGAAGCTGATGCACATCTTAAGCTGCATAACCTTCAAGAGGTAATATCTGATGGCTTATATTTTTCCAGTAACTCTACTGTTCTAGTAGTATCCTGTGAGTAATGATGTTTGGCCAAAGACTTCGCACTCATTTATGTTTAAATTGTCCCAATGTAACTATTGATCTAGCATGGACTTCAGATGGTACTCGTTTTGGAAATGTTGAGATTATCTGAGAGCTAAATTGACAAAGCAAATAAATGACTCTCTGAAAGAAGGTTTTGTTTTGGGAACAAAATACAGTAGGGAACTCAAAATGTAAAGGGAATTTAACAATCCATATTTGTTCTGTGCATGCCCAGCTTTTGTTTTCAAGCAGACACATTCTTACATGAGTATTACCTTTAAAAGTTAGAATCAGTTTAATGATGGAAATTCCTATATTAAGTCCTCTGTCTCACTTCCAGTCAACAGTGCTCTCCAGGCAGTCTGAATCTAATAATACACCTTTGCATCCATAAATCTATCTTCCTGGCATGATGGCAGGCAAATGTTCTGTTTATGCATTTTCCTGGTTTAACTTCTTAAGGCTGGATTGTCATTGTCAGATTTTTTAATTTGATTAAGTCCAAAGCTTAGATTTGACATTTTAATATGAATGATAAATACTAGTAAAAAAAAATTTCATTGCTTTTACACAATAGAAATAGAAATATTTTCTGATTTGGACTTATACGTTCTCTGTAACTGAATTTATTCCAAACAATGAAACTTAAACTATATGAGATAGCATACAGAGTGAATTTCTTCTGCATTTTTACATTTTTCCATGTACAATGAAAGTAAGCAAACTTCATCTGTGACAACAAGTAACAGTCTTGTATTTCATGTGTTATTAAATGTGTTTTAAGCTGGTATTCACTCTATAATTATCATAGAATCATAGAATCTCCGAGGTTGGAAACGACCCACAGGATCATCCAGTCCAACCATCCGCCTATCACCAATAGTTCTCACTAAACCATGTCCCTCAACACAACATCCAAACGTTCCTTAACACCTCCAGGGTTGGTGACTCCACCACCTCCCTGGGCAGCCCATTCCAGTGCCTGACCACTCTTTCAGAGAAGCAGTATTTCCTAACACCCAGCCTGAATCTCCCCTGGCACAGCTTGAAGCCAATTACAGACTCTTGAAAAGAACCATTAATTTTCCTATTCCAAATGCTTTCATTCTAAGTTGGAAATGAAAATTTTTGAACTGTTCAGTCTTCTGTATGACTGATAATGAGCAGCAGGATAACAGGGAAAGGCCTCCACATCTGCTTTAGTGGAGGTGGGAGATAGGCCAGAAGAGCAGCAGATAAGGTATATAATCTATTTTAAAGCTGCATGTTATTTTCAGTTATCTCTTGATGCAGAAATGGAAGTGGGCCAGCGAGGAGTTGCTTTGCTTCAGCGGTAATGGCCAAAGCTTTGTTTCAAAAAATGTTTGTGAAATAAGAGAAAATGAGGCAAAGCTAAAATGCTGTAAGTTGAATCATTGTTTGTCATTCTTTGAAACAAAGAAAGTGGCCTCTTAAGCACTTTATTTAGTAGTGATTCTACTTCATAACTATGGCTAAAGAGATAGCAAAAAAATATTTTTTTTCAACTAAATATTCTGGCTTTATACATCATCCTCTGTGCTAGTACTGATCATGATACATCAGGAAAATACGCTGACTCAAACACAGTGAAGTGCTTGCTGCCATGGTTATTTGTGAGTAACCATTCTGATTCTTACCAAGGAAATTTCACATATTAATTACCTTGCAAGTGCTGACGTTTAACCATTTCCATTTTTGAAATTTCTTACTTGAAAAGAAATAAATGGAACTTACCTCGGGTGGATAAAAAACTGTTTTTAACAGATGATTACAATTTCACCAGGAGTGGTTAGTGATTTTCACCATAAGGTAGCAGTATAGAACTGTAGAATGTTTTATTTCATTCTGTATTAGATATGAATACATTATATGGTTTACTTCAGTAAAGGTTTGCTATTTCTATTGACTAAAATATAAAGCAAACAAGTATATTGCTGAATATTTTAATTGTATTTAATAGGATTTGGATTTTCTTTCCTTTCAGGCTTATGAAGCATCATTTATTCATGCAATAAAGCATAAGCATATCCGGGCAAAAAAGTACTTTGCTCAGATCCCAGTGATGACATCACTTTTCCCCAGGAGTGACAAGCAGGCTAATGCAAGTTAATTTTTAATAGCTATCCTTATTCCTACTCATATGAAAACGTAACTCTTCAGATAACAGGTGTCAAAGAAGTTCACTGAATTATGTACTAATACAATTCCTCTGTTTTTAAAGAAATATGTTGTTTTCCCAACACCTAAACTGCTTTTCATAGATCAAAATAAAATTCTGAGTATAAAATAATTTGATCCTTACCAATCCATGTAACTGCATTTCATGCTTTGTAGCCTCATTATTTAAAAGGTAGATAATTGATGGTGAGATGTTTACATTCATGAGCCATGACTGTTTGGTTATGTATGCCTGTGTTACTTGGAATATTTTGTTTGCAAACTAATATTTTTGATGAGGTAATTAAGCTAAATCTTTGTTGTCTTTTACTTATAAAAGTAACAATAAATATATGAAATTTATTTCTCTGATTTTAAAACGTTTGGCAGAAAACCCAGCAAAAAACCACCAAATCATAACCTATCAAAAACCAAAATTGATATTCTCTTCCAAAAGAAGCAGTTATGCCTTGGAAACATTGGTGTAAAAAAGTCAGCCATCTTTTTGTGGCTCATCCTGTTGGTCATAATGGAACTGTCAGAATGCAGTTATCGGATCCAAGATCTTGAAGTTATTGTGAATCAGGCTTAACATTTGAAAATACACAGTGCAGACTGTTCAGAACTTGTTTATCTTTTGAGAGGCTTGCGTTATTTAAAGTAAAAGTTAATTGCCTCCCTAAACTTACACAGTTACATTTATGTTTGATTACAGTTAGAGAGGAAAATATTTTGTGGTGTACATTCATAGAACCATAGAATGGTTTGAATTGGAAGGGGCCTTTGAGATCATCTAGTTTCAACCCCCTGCTATAGGCAGGGACACCTCTCTAGGACCCCTTTGGCTAAGCCTTGAATGCTTCTAGGGAGGGAACATCCACAGCCTCACTGCTCAGCCTGTTCCAGTGTCTCACAACCCTCACAGTAAAGAATTTCCTCCTGATATCTGGTCTAAATCTACCCTATTCCACTTTAAAGCCATTTCCCCTCATGCTGTCACTACATGCCCTTATAAAAATATGTGGAACTGTTGGACCTTCTCTGTTTCAGCCTTCCAGTACTTAAAGTGAGCTTATAAACAGAAAGGCGATTGACTTTTTACACAGGCAGATAGTGATAAGGAAAGGGGGAGCATTTTTTAAACTAAAAGAGGAGAGATTGAGATTATGTATTAGGAGGAAATTTTTACTCAGAGATGGTGAGGTGCTGGCACAGGCTGCCCAGAGAAGCCGTGGATGCCCCATCCCTGCAGGTGCTCAAGACCAGGCTAGATGGGAACCTGGGCAGCCTGAGCTGGTGGGTGGCAACTCTGCCCATGGCATGGGAGATGGAAGCAGATGGTCTTTAAGGTGCCTTCCAACCCAAGACATTCTATGATTCTGTGAATTGCTTAGGGCTTTATCCATTTGTACCTTCAAAAAGTTCACGGATGGAGAATGAACAACTTCTAGTAGCAATCTGATCTGGTGCCTGACTGTCCTCAGCTTAAAAAAGAAATCTACACTCCTATCCAGTTGAAAGCTGCTTTCTTTCAGTGAAGTCTGCTGTCTCTTTTACTGTGCACACCTGCCTTAATTTTCATAATCTCTTTGTAAATTTCAGAAAGCTTCTATCAGGATTTTCCTAAACCTGTTGTCTAGGCAGAATAAGTACAGCCTCTCCTTCTACATCAAGTGCTTCTGCCTCCTTTGCTTCTCAGTGGAATGCTGTTGAACTTGCTCCATTTATTGTAGTCCTCTTGATTTGAGGGACATGAAATTAGATGCAGAGTTAAGAATTCATTCTTGAAGATCTCCAGATTCTACATTCAGTTAAGCATTAGCAACCAAGCCTGTTTTAGCCTGCCAAAGAATTGCTCACAAACAGGTTTTTTTGTTTGGTTATGCAAAAGTCCAGTTGACTTTTCTGGGACATGGCTGTCTTGTGATTTTGAACCATTCAGAGGAAGAAAAAAACTGTCACAGAATCATAGAATGATTCTCATAGTTCTCACAGAACTACCTGCATACAGAACATACAGTGAAAACTCATGTCTTCCTTCAAACTAGTGTCCAAAAATGGCTTTTGAAAGCATAGAAGTTGAGTGTTTTGAAGAATGTGGTATATTGAAAAGAACATTTAAAATTAAAAACGCATTAAAATAGCAATTTATTGGTTATCTTGTCGAAACTCTTTGTTTGATAAAAGCCAAATGCTGTCACCTCAATTCTAAAATAGAATGACTTTTAAAATCTAATGATTGAAATTATCATACAGAATTTCATGTTACGTGTGTTGCTCTGAGAGTAATTACAAAAAGCACAGTAACACTACATGATAGAACGAATTCTCAGCTATAACATACTGTTTTTCAACATAGTCACTACTATTGGCCATGCATTTTCACCACAACAAGAGCCTGCATGCCATGCTTGTAAAAAAATCTGCTGACATTGCTGCTGAAATGCACCACCCACTGCCTCACTCTTGGTCTCCACCAGTGTTCAGCAAATGTTGAAGATTGTCAGTGGATGCCATTTTTTTCCACATGGAGGAATTCAAAGGAGTGATACACCTTTGTTTTATATACCATTTATCACACTGCTCCTTTGCTGCCATCCATTGTGTGGTAACAAAATATAACAGCATATTGGTGGGAAGATTCAGTCTCTACTGCCTTACCACCAACATGATGGTGGTACCACCGCCTCTGATGTTGTTGGCCAAGATAATAAAACAAGAGGCACTACTTTTGGAACAACCCTAATAGTCTTCTCTGACTGCTACTTTTGTCATCTGACATGTGGTTTTTATATTACTGAATTTCAAAAAAAAGATTTTTAGCATGACTTGTTCATAGCATTTATGATTGTATTATGCTTTGAAAAGGCATTAATTTGAAACTTTTCTATAATAACTATTATACTGCCTTGGTTCGCTTGTTTATATAAGCTACAAAGGATGCTGGACAGGTATGAAGGATGTAAGTTTTCTCTGCATCAGAGGTAAAGAATGGAGATTCCAACTCAGGAGATCAGGGTCAGATAGAGACATTCTATTTCTAGGAAGTGTTTTCTGGGAAATCTGCCTGGGCTCATTTACCTTCAATTGTCATTGCTTTTCATCAGGAGAAGAAAACTGTTCAGATAAAGGGTCAGATCTGCCAGTTTCTATTAGAACTGAATAAATGCTTTAAAAGCACAGCTGATCATCATTTCTTGAACTTCAGACTTACACAAAAGATGATTTTGGAATCTATTTGTGTAATAGTCCCTGCTTTGGAGCTTAGATTTTTCCTGGATAATGTGAACAAATTATTTTACAATTATTAATTATTAATACAATTATTTTAACATCAGTGCCTCTTCAAAGGATAACAGACTGAGATGAAATTCTGACCTCCTTTTGCTTTGGGAATGTGGCTTATGAAATCTTAAATTCTACCTTAAAGGTTGAGTCCACAAGGACTCCAGAAATGGTGGTGAGAAATACTGGCTTTGCCTCAGTTCTTTCCCACCATACGAACAAGATTGGCCCATATGGCTTGCATTTCTCATTCTCCACTAGCAAAGACACCTGGACAGTTAACACCTGAAGTTTACTTTGCAGGACTCTGTTGTGAGCAGGGCTTTTCAAAAATGAAGGAAAATTTGCCTTCTCACTACCCACTAGAAGCATTTCCAGAAGAAAAAGTTCCAGCCTTCTCCCACATACAGAAGTGGGTAAGATGTGAGTTTGGCAAAGAACAGGCATTTTTCCTACCCACTCCCAAGAGAAAACACTGCTTTTTTCATGATGTAAATTTCCCTATTTATTTCCCAAAGGAAGAGGAACTCAAAGTAATCATTCTTTCCACCTTCTTGACTCCAAAAGGTCTCCCAATTAAGAAAGCATTAATTCCCTTCTTGTATTATAATGTGATTGCAAACACTGATAAAATGGTATTATAGACAAAATATGTGAGAGTAGCAAAACACTTGCTAGCCAGTATTTGGCATAGTGTTGTTTCTTACTGAAAATGTATTTTCTAATGGTAATAGATACATATATATATAATATATATAATATATATACATAATCTAAATCTTGATTTATTTAAAGCCTAAATTTGAATAGGCTTACTTTCTGAGCTAGGTGAAAAGATTCAGTACCGTCTTAGCTCCCAAACCTATGGCTACAGAATCGTATTTGTATATGAAATGACTGGCATTTATTTTTATCACTGGTCTGTACACAATTTTTTTAGCTTATCTTGCACTGTAAATCGTCCTTGTTACAAGAGTGATTCTAGTCTGATTTACAGTCCTAACTTTACCGTCATCCCGCAGAGATCTGGCATTCATGATTCTTTATATTCAGCAGTTCTTACATCAGGAATGTTGAATAATGAAGTTGAGAGAATTAGTTTTTTTTTTCTAAAGAAAAGCTTTCAGGAACTCTTGGAAGAGGTCCAGAGGAGGGCCACTAAGATGATCAGAGGCTGGAGCACCTATGAAGAAATGCTGAGGGAACTGGGCTTGTTTAGCTTGGAGAAGAGAAGGCTACAGGGTGACCTCATTGTGGCCTTCCAGTACTTGAAGAGAGAGTATAAGCAGGAGGGGAACAGCTTTTTACAAGGGTGGATAGTGATAGCACAAGGGGGAATGGTTTTAAACTGAGACAGGGGAGCCTTAGGTTAGATATTAGGAGGAAGTTTTTCACACATTGGTGACGCACTGGAACAGGCTGCCCAAGGAGGCTGTGGATGCCCCATCCCTGCAGGCATTCAAGGCCAGGCTGGATGTGGCTCTGGGCAGCCTGGTCAGTGACCCTGCACATAGCAGGGGGTTGAAACTAGATGATCACTGAGGTCCTTTTCAACCCAGGCCATTCTATGATTCTATTATAATTAAGCCTACTTCATTTTATTCATCCCATTTCTTTCCATTATTTTTGAGTTCCACATTTCATTGCTGACAGGATGAGAAATATCTGGGATATGAGATATGAATACAGTTGTAAAAGAAAGCATGCATAAATTCAGAAGAATGGGTATGAGTAGAAGGCAAACACAAGGTATGTCAGTATTGCAGCTTCTTTTAATAAAATTATTTTAATTGAGATAAATAGTGATGAAATTATTTTTTTCTTTATTGCAGCTTTATAACTATTTCA